TGTGTGTGTGTGTGTGTGTGTGTGTGTGTGTGTGTGTGTGTGTGTGTGTGTAATTGATTGGAAAAGAGTTTATTCTGCTTAGATCTTTTTGTAGTCATGTTATTTATATGTAGTATTTTTTTCCTTTAATTCTTTCACTTTATATTTCTGCCTGTCTGATGATCTCATTTTTAAACATTAAATCAGATGTTATGATCAGTTACTCAGTACCCACGTACCCTTTTTACTCAATACCTTTTAACTCTTGCTTGAATAATTTCTTGGACGGCTAGTTTTTACTGTTACTTGAGTAAAACTATGTTGAGGTAGTGCTACTGTTACTTGAGTACAATTTTTGGCTACTCTCTGGTAGTAACCCATCCCTCTAATGGTAAAAGTAGACCCAAACCATGGCAGCAAAATGCCTTAAATCAAAACACACCTATTGCTTTTTGTTGGACTCCTTTGGTGCGTTTCCTGTTTGCTAGCTTCACCTGTATCAGTGTCAGCCCCACTTGTTGCTTGCTCCAAACGTCACCTCAAACTATACAGTCTTGGCTCCCCCCTTGCCTCAAAAATACAACAGACCAATATCACCATCCATTATATTACTAGTAAATGAACCACTGTTGTCAAAAACTCCCTACTTTTCTGTGCTCTGCAGTTCTTAGTTCCTGGATTTATTGTCATCGTGTTACATTACCATAGTTGTTATTTATTGTGCATCAAAGGCAGAATTGCTTTAAATTGAGAAGGAGGTCAGATGTTGTGTACTTTCTCACCTTGCAGTCGTCACAGTGCTCGGAGGTGTCTCCCTCCTCACAAGGACATTTATCACAGCTGTCACAGTGCTGGAAGAAAGCCCATTTTATTTTAAAAAGACTAGAAAGCAAATCATGAAATAGCAAGCAGTGCTCTCACGTCAGTAAGGAAGGAACAATCCACCAGTTTTAATGTTTAGATATTTGGGTCCATAACTGTACATCGTGATGTTTGTTTTAGTAAGGATTTGACTTTGATCCTGTAATGACAGAACATCATTTCTCAAAGTCAATCTCATACATACCTCACAGAATTCACAATATGCGCACACAGAGCCCTTGTGATAAGTACCGTCTTCATCGTCGTCGTCATCTGCACAGAATATTTATAAAAGATATATGACTAAATGAGAATAATTGCAATAAAATCAACTAGTTGTTTCCCTGGTGTTTTTGTTTTATACAACAAAAGGAAAGAACGAAGTTCTAATTCCTAATATTGTGATCTGGACTACAGTGCAGATTTTTGTTATAAGTTTGCTTCTTCGAAGATGATAACAAAACCAAAGTGCAAAAATGCAAAATTGTCTTTTTACTGGTAAAAATGACTGACAACAAAGTAAAGAAGGTACAGAGTCAGTAGACTCAGTATACTTTGAAGACATTGACTGGTTTAGGTTACAGGAGCAAACCTAGTTCTAGTTTTATTCTAGAATAATTTAGTACTTGTTTGCTAAGTGTATATAATGGCTACAGAGTAAAATAGAAAACCATCAAGATGTTTACAGCTCATTTCTTAAAGTTTTGGGGATCTTTGGTGCATTATGGTTGGCATTTATAGATAATTTCAGTATTGGAGTATTTATTGGAGGATATGACTAATGAAATAAGTAAAGTGAAGTTCTTGCTTGATAAAAACAAGTTATCATTAAATTTGAATAAATCTAAACTTATGTTATTTGGAAATAGTCGTTTAAATACAAATGCAAAGATTCAAATAAATGGTGTTGATATTGAAAGAGTCAGTGAAAATAAATTTCTGGGGGTAATAACAGATGAAAAACTTAACTGAGAGCTCACGTAAGATATATTCATTCCAAAGTATCACAAAGCATTGCAGTACTAAACAAGGCAAAACAGGTATTAGACAAACATCACTTCATATTCTCTACTGTTCACTGGTTTCACCATACTTAAGCTATTGTGCAGAGGTCTGGGGCAATAACTATAAAACCACATTACATTCACTTTTTACTCTTCAAAAAAAAAAAAAAAAAAGCAATTCGAATCATCCACAGTGCAGGTTACAGGAACATACAAACTCACTATTTTTGCAGTCTGAAAAATTGAAAATTGAAGATCTAGTGAAAAGCAAAAAATAAAGAACTGCCAGGTGATATTCAGAATATGTTTTTTTTTGAAAGAAGGAAGTTATAATTTAAGGGGTTTTTATAACTTCAAAACAGGGAAGGTCCGTGTGTTTCTGTTCATGGAGTGAAACTGGAACAGTCTGAATATGGAACGAGAAAAAGTTGCATTTCCTGCAAAAATGCAGTATGAATACCTCGTATTGGAATCTGCTGAAAACAACTGAAAACGCAGAATTATCTGCTTAAAAGAGGTGTAGAAGCAGAAGTGCTTGCTGAAGATGGCTGTATGTGAAAGGGTACACTGAAGAGTGTCAAGAAAGCAGAGTGGAGGCAAGCAGGGAAGATGTGTGGAAACCGTCACATGTAGGATTCAAACCTTTACCACCGGGTCTCACGGCAACTGCTCAACCCACTGAGCCAAACCAGTTCTGGTGCCAAACAAAGATATTATGAGAGAAAAATGTGCACTGTGGAGCAGAAGTTGAAATTTCCTGAAAAGAGGTGAAGAAGCAGAACTTTGTGCTGAAAGGAGGTGAAGAAACTGAAATTTGTGCAGAATAGAGTTGAAGAGGCTGAGATTTGTGCTGAAAAGACGTGGAAAAGTTGGAATTCTGCTGAAAAGAGGTGAATCAGCAGAATTTCTGCTGAAAAGAGGCTAAGAAGCAGAACTTTGCGCTGAAAACAGGTGAATCAGCAGAATTTCTGTTGAAAAGGGGTAAAGAAGCTGAAGTTTGTGCTGAAACAACTGAAGAAGCTGGAATTAGTGCTGAAAAGTAGTGAAAAACTGAAAATTCTGCTAAAAAGAGGTGAAAAAGCTGAAATTTGTGCTGAAAAGAGTTTAGACAGTTGAACTGTTAACTGAAATTTTTTTTGTCCTAAGCGGATTTGAACCCAGGCCTCCTGGTCTGAGAACGGCTGCTCATCTCACTGAACTAAAACATGGCTCAGCCCGGCAAGCAAAACTGGTGATCACACTGATAATGTGGTCCCATTCAGCAAAATGGGCCAAAAAATGTGATAAAATGCTTAATATCTGAAAAAGTATAAAAGTTATGAGCACCAAAAGATATAGGTGGCATTAGCAGAAAGAGCAGAACAGTTTAAAATTTGAATGGTGAAAATCGGATGAAAACTGAGGGAGTAGTTAACCAGCAAAGGTCAGAGCAAATAGATTAAGGTAGAAGAATAAAGTTTAAAGAGAAACAGGAACTCAATAGTGTGAATGCCTTGGCATTCACACTATTAAAGCGACGTCCAAACATAAAACCGTTCAAAAAGAGTTATAAAAATATGATCTTCTCGAACTATAAAGAAAAGTAAAATATTGAAATTAAGTGAATGTCTCTATTTTTTAAAAAAAATCATGATGTGATATGATATGGTATGGTATATCAGAAATCTGT